GCGGTTGGGGAAGCCCTTCCTGCAGATGCGGATGCCCTCCAGCACGCCGTTGCAGCGCAGCTGGTGCATGACCAGGGGGTTGTCCATCACCCCTGTGGGGGGAGGGGTCAGCCTTAGAGTAAGTGATTCCAGGCATCCTCCCCAGACTGTGGCCTCCCCCCAGCTCACCTGGAGCCTTCCGTTCATTGGGGATGATGCAGCGCACAAAGTGAGGGTGGGTAGTTCTCAGGTTGGTCATCAGCTTGTTCAGATTCTCCTGGAGGGTGGATGAAGGTGGGAGGTGAGAGGCCATAAGGACTATCCCTTAGGTCACTGAGCCCTGGGCCCCAGCCACCCCGTCACCAGAACCATCAAAGGGCTTGGCACATAACTTACAATGTGAGTTCAGGCTTATGTGGAAGCTACACAACAAAAAATGACCACAAAGCTCTGGCTTCTTTCCTTCTCAAACCCACAGCATCAGGACAAGGTGCAGGGAAATGGTCCAGCCAGGTGTGCCCCCCCCCCAGGTGTTCTCTGGGCCCTGCTTACCCGGTGGAGAGCTGACACTGTCTGGAAGGATGAGCCCTTTTTTTTGCCTCCTTTGCCTTTACCACTATCCCCTAAAAACAAGAGAAGAAATAACTAACAGAAGCTTGGTAATAGAGAAGCCATCAGGCAGAGGCAGGGGTCTGCAGCTCAGTAGCTGTGTGACTTAGTCAAGTGATTCGCCAAGTCTTAGTTTTCCATGAGGATGGTAGTAAAATCTGTGATGGGGATTAGATACGATGAAGGTGCAAGGTGGCTCAAGGGGTGCTGGCCACACGGTAGGCACCAAAATGGCACTGGTGCCCCTCCCTCCCTCTTCTACCTCCACCATCCATTCTTCTGCCTTTCCACTTGCTACTTTTCTTCTCATCCTTTACCCTCTTCATTTCAATCCACATCCTTCTTCTACTTCTCTGAATTAGAGGCTTATTTGTTCAGGGGTCCTCTCAATGTTTATTGGGCTCTCCTGTGCTCACTGCTCCGTGCGGAGCATGCTATAGTGAGACAGGAGCCCCTCTCACCAGCCTCCAGTTACTCGTGGCCTTGAGCAAACACCACTATTCATAGCACAAAGTGGAAAATGGCAAGTACAGAGGGAATGCTGTGGTGTCTACTGATTCATACCCCTCTAGGACGAGAATCAGTAGCTGGGTTGACTCCTGGGCTCCCCTGCCTACCTCTGGATTCATGTGCTTTGAAGCAGCAGGACCCTGACCCTGAGTACCCCCAGAAGTCTCCTGACCCAGTGTAGGGGCTGTTCCCTTACCAGCATCGGCAGAAGCATAGGTGGAGAAGAGAGAGGCCAGGAGTTTGAGGGAGGACTTCTGGTACAAGCCCACCACCGTCTCGTTGAGAGGGTCTTTGTTCTTTTCCAGCCAGCCCAGGATGTTGTAGTCCACAGTGCCAGCATAATGCACCAAGGAGAAGTGAGCTTCTGGCTTCCCCTTGATATTTCGTGGCTTCTGGAAGTTGTTGGACTTGCCCAGGTGGTTGTCATACAACTTGGCCTTGAAGGTCATGTCGGTGGCCTTGGGGAACATGCACTCCTCCTCCAGGATGGACATGATGCCCATGGGCTGAAGGCAGGGTGAAAGGTAGAGACAGAATCACTGAGTGCACCTTCAGACTCCCAGTCCCACACCCTGGCAGACAAAAGACTCTGTAGCCCAATATTGCTGGCAGGCCAAAGGGAGCCTGTACTGGTACCTCTTGCCCCCAAGATAGGAAGCCAATCTTTCTGAAATGAGCCTAAATCCAATTAAGTCTAGATCTGGCTTCTTTCTGCTCTAGTGGATGCAACAAAGAAGCTGTGCACTCCTAATCACCCCTTGAGGCTCTCAAGGCCTTACAACACAGCCCATTCTTCCGAATGGCTCACTGTTCCAGAAGCACCAGCACAGAGACAGATGTGCGTCAGAGGCACCAGACTGCAGAGGCAGGCCAGGCGCCTGTCTATATGACTCTTGTAGCAATTTTCCAAAGGATGGTTAGAAGGATCCAGATTCTGGCCGGGCAAGGTGGCTCGTGCCTATAATCCTAGCACTTGGGAAGCCGAGGTGGGTGGATTGCATAAGCTCATGAATTTGAGATCAACCTCAGCAAGAGAGAGACCCTGTCTCTAAAAAATAGCCGGGTGCTATGGCGGGGTACCTGTAGTCCTAACTACTGGGAGGTTGAGGCAAGAGCATTGCTTGAACCCAAGAGTTTGAGGTTGCTGTGAGCCAAGATGCCACGGCACTCTACCAAGGATGACCAAGTGAGACTCTGTCTCAAAAAAGAAAAAAGGACCCAGATTCTACACACCACTCTGCATTTCAGATAATGAGGTGATGGGGCAGCATTTTTTTTTTTTTTTAGAGACAGAGTCTCACTTTGTCATCCTTGATAGAGTGCCATGGCGTCACAGCTCACAGCAACCTCCAGGTCTTAGGCTTAGGTGATTCTCTTGCCTCAGCCTATGGGGCAGGATTTTTCTTGGGGCCAGGAATCTTTTTGAGAACTTGATGAAGCCAAAGACCATCTCTCCAGAAAAATGCATGTATACGCACACACACCCATATGTATGTGTGCTTCTTTTCCATACAGTTTTATGTGATTCAGAGGCCTGTGAAAGGATCTCTGGATAATGATTCAGAGCTTGTGGGGAAGCTCCTGTGTTCTGAAGGCAGTGGCTGGTGGAGTGAGGGCCTGGACTGTGTTAGCACAAAGTGAGAGCACACTGAGAGCAGGGCTGCACTAACACAGGGGAGTCTGCCACCAGTGCCTTTGTCTCTCCTGAGAAACACCTATAGACAGGGAAGCTGGAGGCTGGCAACTGGCTTATTTCTCAACACATAGAAAAGTGAGGGGAAGCCAGACATCTCTGGTCTCAACTCTCATGAATAATGCTTCTTCTCATGGTCTGTCATGAGAAGGGCAAGGGGTCCCCTCCTTCACTACATTTCACTCATAAGACCCTGACAGGTGGCCATAATATAAGGCGCCAAGGTCCTGGGGAAAGGAAGAAGGAGCTCATCCTGTATCGGCCTGTGATTTCCCAGCAAGTAGAAACTGGGCCTGAAAAGAGGCTTAGGATTCGGGGGACTCCAGTTTCTTGGATATAGCAGGGCTGGGGCTGTCTCTTTGTCTGAGATGGCAGAGGAGGGGGCACAGGCAGTGGGGAGGAGGCAGCACCTTCTCGATGAGGTCGATGCAGGCCTGCAGGTCCATCCCAAAGTCGATGAACTCCCACTCGATGCCTTCCTTCTTATACTCCTCCTGCTCCAGCACGAACATGTGGTGGTTGATGAAGAACTGCTGCAGCTTCTCGTTGGTGAAGTTGATGCAGAGTTGCTCAAAGCTGTTGAACTGCAGGGGAGTTGGGGTGGCAGTCAGGGAGGTGGGGGTGGGCCCAGGGCTATGCTGGGGCTCTGTGCCCAACCTCAGCTGGGGTGCAACTGGTCCCCTCCTAGGTCAGGGCAGTGGAGGACAGCTTCCCCTGGAGATAGGAAAGATGACTGCCTATGTCACCACACAGTCTCCACCACCTCCCTGTGCTGTCCCCCAGGTGGCAGTCAGCAATGGCAGTTGAAGGTGTGAATGTGTGAGTGATGTTCCGCCCACTCCCAGGGCTCCCCCAACTCACATCAAAGATCTCGAAGCCAGCAATGTCCAGGACTCCTATGAAGTACTGGCGTGGCTGCTTGGTCTCCAGGGTGGCGTTGATGCGTGTCACCATCCAGTTGAACATCTTCTCATACACTGCCTTGGCCAGTGCCCCAATGGAGTAATACACCTGCTGGACATTCTGCCCCTTGGTGACATATTCGTTGCCCACTTTCACCCGAGGGTGACACAGCCCCTTGAGCAGGTCGGCTGAGTTCAGCCCCATGAGGTAGGCAGACTTGTCAGCATCTGGTTAAGAAGGAAAGGAGTGAGTAAGCACCTTAAAGGACTCTGCCCCACAGTCAAGGCCTTTAGGA